ATTTGGGGAATACCAGACGGAGCGGTTTGCTACTTTTTGTGCAGTAAATGTGCCTCTCTTCTTGTAAATATCGTTCTGATGAGGAGAATAAATGAGGAACTAAAGGCATTTTCATGTGGATTATGGTTATTACCTGCAACCACTGTGTATCCCTGATGGGCCGCCAGGTTTCGACTGACAGCTGAAGCTCCTTTAGCCTCGTCCAGACTGCCGTTGATGAGTGAGAGAGGATAGAGCGCCTGCAGGAGAGAGAGAGTCAGTAGCTGAAGGTCTGCGCAGTGTCCGGGACAGATTTTCCTCCAGTACCTGCTCTGTTTTCCCGACTGCGGTCGGGCCGAACGTGTCGGAGCTGTAGTGGTGCCGCTCGAAGCCGCAGTCCAGGCGCTGGGATGAGAAGTGTTCGGCCCTCAGCTGTTTCCGGGGCCCTCCACCGCTGCCCTGAGAGTCCACGCTGTGCCGACAGCTCTCCTGATCGCCTGGCACAACACAGGTCTCCTTTATTTATATAGCGCTTCATACTATACTGATTGTGTCAAAGCAGCTTTACAGTGTCAGCAGGAAAATAGTGTGTCAATAATGCAAGAGGACAATAACAGAGTCATTTTCCAGCTAAAGTGATTGAGTGCTGTCATCATACAGTTAAGCTCTCTACTGTCTGTGCAATCAGTCAAGCGTCCCCAACTAGGCAACAGAAGCGAATTATTTATTTATTGACAACATTTGAACATTTCCGCAAAACCTGAAAAATGTGCCGCAGCAGATACAGATTCCACCGGTGACAGTCAGAGACTTTCTCACTCTCAGACACACGTGAACTAATTCCATTTCAATACGTTTGTTCCCATTGCTGCCATGCATTCTCCCTAAACCCATCTACTAATGCTACCTGGAATTTCATTTAATGTTTCAAGATCAAAATCATACCTCATGGAAACAGCAGTAAGGAACGCCGGAGCAGCATCAGTCAGTATGTCACAGTTCATTTGTTAAACTTCGATATGTTTAGCGTCTGCGGTCTGAATCGGTGCATTAGAGTGCGACTCACTGTCGTCGTGGCTCCTCTTGCCCTCGCCGCTGGTCTGTGGGATTCCCAGCAGGCCGCTGATGGAGTAGGTGGAGCCCAGGGAGTCCGACTGAGGAGATTCTGGAGGAGTGACGGCTGAACTGGGAACTGTCAAGCAAACAGACAGTTTTTTACTTTATTACTTCACTGAACTGAATCAGATATTATCGGGAAGTGTTAGTGGATGTTCATACTCAGCGTATGTCCAGGACTGAGGCCTTTGCTGTCCAGGGGAAGGTTGAATGGCTGTTGAACTTTTGTGCGAATAATCCTTCAAGAGAAGAAAACAGCGGGTTAGCAGAGTTAATCAAGAAGGAAGGTGAAATGTGCACAAAGAAAATGAAGGACACTGGCATTCTGTGGATGAGGTCAGGGGTCATTACCTGTTGATGGAGCTGACGCTGGGCACGGTGTCGCCATCACAAGCACCCTCGGCCAGCAGCCGGTCTCGGATCTCCCACGCAAACATGGTGGGGTTCTGCCGCTTGTACTCCGCTATCTTCTCCACCACTTTAGGAGTCGCCACTTTCGGCTTGGAGCCCCCGATGACTCCTGGTTTAATGCTGCCCGTCTCATAGTACCTAAAAGAGAAACGACCGTTAAAACAAAACTCACGTGAGTTTCGCTGACTGCTTTCACTGCTTCCTTCTGACACCCGTCTGCTCACTTAGTCCTCATTCATTTCTGCTAGATTCGATCTGCATGTGTATATCATGCGCTGTGCTGTCTATCGTCTTATAGATTGTATACTGTGTGTAATGTTAAATCAGGAGAACTTGATATATGTGTCTGATAACGTTATGGCATCCAGAGGAAAAAAAACAACAGAAAATACAAAAAATACCAGTATAGCATTTGCTACAGTGGAGCAGAGGAGACCTAACAAGCACTAAGAAAGGAAAAGTAGAATAACTGAAAGTGTTTGGGCCATCCTGTTGTTAGAGAGAGAGAGAGAGAGTGTGTGTGAGTGTGAGTGTGAGTGTGAGTGTGTGTGTGTGTGTGTGTGAGAGTGTGTGTGTTTAGGGTGTGTGTGAAGAAGCCCTCACCATCACGGCTCACTGGCGCCCTGTATGCGTGTCAGTGTGTGAGAGTGAGTGTGAGTGTGTGTGTGTGTGTGTGTTTAGTGTCTGTGTCTGTGGGTGGGTGTGCGTGAGCGTGAGCATGCGAGTGTGAGTGTTTGTGTGTGTGTGTGTTTAGCGTCTGTGTCTGTGGGTGCGTGAGCGTGTGAGTGCGAGTGTGTGTGTGTGTTTAGTGTCTGTGTCCGTGTGTCTGTGTCTGTGTCTGTGCGTGTGTGTGTGTCTGTGTGTCTGTGTCTGTGTGTGTCTGTGTCTGTGCGTGTGTGTGTGTGTGTGTGTCTGTGTCTGTGTGTGTCTGTGTCTGTG